AGTAGTAGTGGAGGTCTGGTGGCAACTGGTGGTAATGGAGTCAGTTGTGTAACAACATAGATACTAAAAAACCGGGCACAGTTACGTTGCTTTTATTCTTACTGTGTCTTACCTAAAGATCTGATTGCTTCTTTCAAAGATTTGTGAAGTAATTCTGCAGTCTCATGTGGTTTTTGTACAGTGTAAATATCGCTGAAATACAGTGTTGCGGGACGCTAATCCTTGAAGTAGCAGCAGAGGATGCTGTAGTTAAAAGCTTTTACAATAGCATCGAACATTCACAGTCTGTAAATAGAAATAACTTGGAAAGAAATGGGTACCCATAAATGCAAATAAGATCATTCCTTACACGTGCGATCTAACTGATAAAAAGCAGAAGTGAGACATGTGAGCAACTGTTTTCTGAAGGTAAAAATGTGAGCAGTGATGGAAGCGGATGAGTGCTAGTAGAGGAAGTTGTATACAACCCAAATACTGTCCTGTCGTATTCACCTGGACTCAGGACTGCAAGAAGACACCTCAGAAGCTGTGCAGGGATACTTCATAGCCTGAGTGCTAAAATAACTTTCCTAACCCTCCTAAATCTCCCCCCCTTCACCTGCAACTCCTCGCAGTGGCTGAGCACACTCTGTCCCCACCCAACTGCTAAGCGGTCCCTGCTCGGGGACACAACAGGATTTTGTGGTATCCAGCAGACCTGGTCATCAACCTTGCCATGTAAAGCAAACAGGTGTTGCTCGTGTGTCTAGTGCCCACTCATGCTGCCTTGCAGAAGTGTATCCATGAGAAAATGCATAGATACTAGCTTTGAAGTTTGCTCTAACTGCAAAGGTGGTGCTTCACATAACTGTTCTTCTTTCTTCTCTTTAAATATTTAAGCTATATTTGAAGTTAGCCCAGTACCAGGGTGTTCTTTGGGACATGGAGAATGCAGATCGTTATCCTGCTGTGCCCATTTCTCTTCCTTTCTCTTTGGTCCAAGAAAGCAATGGTGTGCTGTCACAAATAGAGATTCTCATTGATAGACATTGGTTTTGGGTGAGATGGTGCTTTCTCACCTGCTTTTTTGCTTCACTAGAAAATACGAAAATGACAGAACAGGCTGATGACCACCAAAACCTGGTAGTTGCTGAATTTGTGGTTTAGTTGCTCCATTGAAGACAAGTGTCTGTAACATAAAAAGTAGGATTAGTCAGCCTACCTTAGGATCTGCGTTGGAAACTTCACTGGAGCAGAGCAATGTGTGTTAAGAGAGTGGTGCAAGGTGCTTCTGATGCAGATACTGATCATTTAGAGCTGTTCTAGTCAAGGAAAAGCTCCTTACTGGTTCTGGTCAACAGGAATGTTCTCAGCCCTCTGAGTATTCAGTCATTTCTATATTCAACTGACGTCTTCAAAGTTAGATTGTTTCAGAAAATGGTTCTTGTTTCCAGTGCTTTCCCACTTCCTTTGCTTTTAGTTGTTACAAATGGGAAAGACACCCTCATCTAATTTGTCCCTTTATAACATTTTCTCATATCACCTGTCATATATTTCTTCAATTATTAAAAAAAGAGAGAATCAATCTTTGTAGCCTCTTCCAATATTGACACTTGTTTTTTTTTCTTCCCTTTTTTTTTTAAGATGGAAACATAGTAGATGAGGTAAAAAACAGATTTTGATGTACCATATTTTCAGTGTTACTGTTCACTGTATCTTAGTGTTTCCTTTGACTGCCAGTAGAGACTAAATATATTTCCATAATGAGTTCAGGTGATTTACATGATGGATTTGAATTAGAGCTCAGAGTATATCAAACTTGTTGAATTATTTTGTGTATTTGCCTGCCTTCTACACTTGTAACCTCCAGAGTAGTGACAATCTTAGTCTTCCTTAGTAGTGGCTGTCTTGCATCATCTTCTGGATGATTAATAATGTGAAAAAGAGACAGCACAAATCATGGAAGGATTATGAAAGTTTGAATATGAGAAGGGAAAGGGCATCCTGAGTTATTTGCCTGTCTGTCCCGATATCCTGGGTAGCCAAAAAGCTTCATTATTTTATGTACATACCCAAAAGATGCCAAAGAAACCTAGTTTCCATTTGCACCAGCTGTGCTGGTTTGTCTCGAGCATTTCATAGTTACTTGTGCTTTGCTCCTGTACAGTCTCCCATAATAACAGCTGACTGAAATAAGAAGTAGTGTTTTTTGTTAACTGCTCAACTACTTCATTCTTAAATTCCTGCAGAACTATTTGATTAAGATCATCTGGTCCTGGTAACTTACTTTGCTCCATAGGTAGGCAGTTTGTTCCAGTGCCTGCAGCCCGTCACTGCCGCAGTCAGAGGCTCCAGGAAGTTCTCCCACCTCTGCTCCCTGCTGTTGCAAGAAAGAAACATAGGTGTAGACTACTGACCTGAGACAGAGATTCCGTGGAGCCCCCGAAGTGCCCTCAGGCTTCCCACTTTAAAGCTGTAGAATTTCTGCGTAATCTCGCGCTGGTGTTGTGAACCCATTTTGGAAGCAAAGACACCAGTATGTGGAGAAAGATACTTAAAGCTACAGCTGCACTGTCATTAAAGAGAATGAGACAGTGCCCAGATTATGGAAAGTATTTTCTGGAAATGTTGTGGTTTCCTGACACATTAGGTATCAGGTTTTTTCCTTTTTAGCAGTTTACTGGTTTTCTGACATTTGGCTTATTAGAAGTACAGCATCCTGGGCAGTATTGGTCTCCTCCTCAGATGGCTTAATGTTTCTTTGACAGATCTTGGAACATATTTGACAATACACGTCAGGACCCCACAGGACTAACAGCAGTTCTTCAGTCTACAGATCTGGTTGGAGTCTTGCATATGCTGTACTGTGTTCTTTTCCACGGGACAATTTCAGATCCAAACACAGCGAGTCCGAAAGACAGCTATGCAGCGAACACAATCCAGGTTGCCATTCAGAGTTTACGTTTCTTCAATAGTTTTGCTGTTCTTGATCTGCCTGCCTTTCAGGTAACAGATGTTTTAAAACTTTTGCTTAGTGTGAAAATGTTAATTATTGCTTATACTTTTGGACTAAGTTTTGTCTCTAAGATCTTATTTTTTGAAGGGACTTCCATGATTAAATGTTTAGGGTTTTTTCATGCTTAAGGTTGCTAATTATTGTTATTTTTACTGTATAGCTAAGACAAATGAATTTAGGCAAAAAGTGAAAATTTGGACTATGCAAAATGCTGAATCCATTACTACTTCTATTCAAAAAAACCTCACTTTTAGCATAGTACTTTTTATATTTCATAAGCCTCAAAAATGTAAAAAAAAAATCTTGGTCAAAAGCACAAAATAACAGTTTTTCTAATGTGAAAGGACTTGCTTATGTTATAACCACAATTTACATTTGTCAGTGCTTTCAGTGTCCACTTGTATTAAGACTGTACAACTGAAACTGAAAATCACTTGGTATCAATTTCTTTTATCCAAGTAAAATTTTACTGGCCAAAATTTGGAAATTTAACTTTTCATAACTTTTATTCATGAAAAAAACCTCAAAAAAGCTCACACTGAGTCTTGAAAAGGTAAGCCTTTTCTTACCTTCTTCTGTAAATGGATTTCTAGTGTAAATTAATCATTTTGGCATACAAAGAAAACAAATACTAATATGTTTCTCAGATAAATTGGCAAGGCTGTTGTGTTAACATAAAACACCTGTCAGAAAGCATTGCTTTGCAAAACACATTTAGCAGCATCAATCTTATACAATTCATCAGAATGGGTTTCTGTTTCATTTAGTATGTAATTTGTATATATGTTGTACCACACACTCCATCTGAAAGGAATTAAACTCAGCAAGAGCTTTGCATGAGTAAAGAATTTAGTCTAAGGTATAAGTCTCCTTCAGTTCGTATTTCTTAACTTTGATTTTTAGGACATTTAGTATCTCTGATAACAGCAACAAGCAATTTGCATGTAGCAGCATTCATCTCTGTGGATCCAGTTGCAGGATTCAGTCCAGTCAGGGGTTTTTTACAGGGCACAGAAACATATTTTTAGAAGTATATTTATTGCAGTTTCATGTAAAACAGCTCTTAAACACGCTACTAACTCTCACTTCGTTCTGTAAATCAAGGTATATTAAAGTAGTTATCTTCCACAGCTTGTTCAGTAGCTCTTGGTTTGAGACTGGGTGTTCATTTGTTGCTGTAGATATTACAGGTATATACCAGGGAGTAGTGAGATTTGAACTGGGGCAGCTATAGCTTATAGGGGGGCTATAGCAAAGTGCAGTGCTGAAGAGCTGTCCCACTGATACCTTGAGAAGCCACTATTAATTTTCACAATGTAAGCTTCCACTTACACTGTCTGTCTGTCTTTAAACTACCATTATATGTGACCATTTATAACAAACCTTGAGCATTAATTCCCAAATCCCAGGATATATATTAGTTTGTTCTGTATAAAATGGTGGAAGATAGTAATTATTGCCTAAAGGGTGGGAGAAAGCTAACCAGTGTGAATTATTTCATTCAGTTCATCGATGCAGAGCTCCGCTCAGGAAGCATCACTTAGCTGTCATTCTGAATTGTAGGCATAGCATTGTTTGTGGTGGACAGACACACTTGTGTAGCTTGAGCAGCTAGCCCTTTTCAATGTATTAATATGATTTGTTTCTGTAATGTTAAAAAATCAACATACACCTGAGGCAGTTTGCTGTCCATTCTGACCCTGTGGACTGTAGCAGGCTAGCAGACAGCAGTGGGAAAAAGCGTAGTTTATGTACTGTCTGATTATCATCTCTAAGGAATAGTTTTATCACGTAACAGTAGGACTATAGAATAGGGTTTTTTGATTAACAGAAGAGGTCTGGTATTCTAGAGTTTGTATTAGCACAGATGGCTCATGGGTATATATTTAATTTAATTTGACAGTCTAAACAATTGAAAGATGGTAGTGAGAAACAACACAGGATACTGAGCTGATATTAATTCTGGCTAAAAAGGAAGCATAGTTTCCTTGAAAAATTAGTTTAACTTTTATACACAAACTCAAGTGCCCTTTGACCTGTTGTTATCAGGGAAGGTTAAACCCAGAGTTCTAGGTCACAGCATGCATGGACAGCACTAATTAAATAAGGGTGGACCTAAGAACATGGCATTTACATGATGTAAAGCAGTAAGTAACTGGTGGCTGTATTGTGCATTAAATTTTGAAAATATACTAACTTAGCAGAATGCTTGAGGTTCAAGATGGAACCACAGCTGAGTCTGTTTTTATTGTCAGGAATTCCGCTTTTCCTGGGTAGATTTGGAGTTTGCTAAAACTAAACTATACTACAGACTGGGCTTTATGTATATGTACTTAATGCAGGCTGCAAGGTATAAAATCAAGAAAACTCTCAAATGAAAGAGATTTTCTCACAGGCCTGCATTGCTGTTTCATTAGAGTTAGTAGACTGTCATGCTCATTCCTTGGGCTTTAGTTTTCCCCTTTGACCTTGTGTCGTTCTGTCTGTTTGACATGTTTATTAAATAGAGGCTGTAGGCTGCGCAGATAAAATCTAATTCTGAATCTCCATGTTACAGCAATTTGCCTACTTTTAAAAAGCATCCCAAGAAGCTTTGCAGCTGAGTGTTCTCTCCTTTTGGATGTTTCTAACTTATTTTAATGTTTGAAAAGTTATTATTTGTTATTAATCTTTGTATTCCATTCAGAGCACAAGTTATTAATGAGAAATGCATTTTGCTCTTCTGCAGAAATGAAGATGGTTTGTTTTCTTTTGCTTATTACTAAGAAATATTATTAGCTTTAAGTTTTCCTGGAACATGTTATGTATGTCAAATGAAATGGTCAGCTTAATGCTGCACTGTATGTCAGCTGAGCAGAATCCAATTTTTCCTGTGTCCCTTTAAATTGTGAATTTATTCTTATAGTCCAGTTGCAAACAATAAGTTACTGAAAGGAGAGAGCTGATTCTGTCCTGCTTCAAAGTCATTGCAACAAAGAACATAGTCTATACTTTGCAAAAAAATAGTGCAATTCATATATATGTCATTCACAGAATTTCTATAGCATACTGCTAGAGTGTAATTTCTGTTTCTTGACCTTTATTTCAGTCTATTGTGGGGGCTGAAGGACTGTCCCTTGCATTCCGGCACATTATCAGCTCTCTGCTGTGGTACTGTTCCCAGCATACCTGTGAAAGATTGCTGCACGAAGTCATTATTTGTGTGGGCTATTTTACTGTAAACAACACAGATAATCAGGTAAGGAAAATGGCAAATGGGATCAGAAGTTATCAAGTGCACATTTGGTCATGGATCCCTCAAGAAAACTTATCCCCTCAACGTTGTTTTTGAAGCACTTGGGATTCCTATGAGCACAAATACATGTGTTTGCAAAACAGAAGCTGAAGTTGCATTTTTAACACAAAAATATTAATTTTATGTGGCCATAAGCAAAGTCCATGTTCTTATGCAGACACTGATGCTGACATTGCATTGATTTTTAACTAGCCTTACTTGCTGCCAAGATATACCTAGCAAGTGATATTTTTAATTCCAAGTTGTTTGTGTCAGCTTGGATCAGATGGCTGTGGTACCCAAGTTAAACCCTTTTAAAGCCAACTAAGCTAAGTTTAAAGCTAACTAAGCCGTGAAGTCTGTCCTCAGATGCCAAGGTAGCCAATGTACCCTGGTAGTTAGATTGCTCATTTAAGTTTAAGCCATTCTTTTCCTTGAATCCTAGTAACAACCCAAATACTCTGTGGAACAAACAGTGGAAATTCCCCTTTAACTTCCTTGATTGTTGTCTGATTTTCTCAGTGGAGTCTGTGACCTCTCATACTAGCTTATAAAATAACCCAGACAAAAAACTTCAAAAATATTTCAAACATTTTAGTCTTAAACATCTCAGAGTTTCCTCAGCTTATATGTAGCATCTCAGAGTGTATTGAGCAGGGCAGAAATTGCCAGTGGCTCTTTGAGTGTGTGAACCTGACTTTGGATGTGTAGAAACTGCATTATGGTGCCTCTGTCTTCGGTATGATTCAGCTACATGCTGTATTTTGTGAAGTTACTCATTTTGTTCGCTCTTCCCATTTCTGTTCAGCTTTTGGAGCGGGGATTCAGGGTGAGGAGCATAGTGTCCTTAGTTAAGCTGAAGAGCAGAAGAAAGAAGTGTTACAGCTTGTCAGCAAAGGTTTAGAGAAAAGCTGTCTGATAAGATTCTGAGAGTTGTTGACTACGATTGGAACATTATAATATCTTAAAGCTTACAATGCTGTTGAAGTATTATGTAATTATATAATGGAATTATAGAGTCATGTTTCTGTGGCTTTGGCTACAGCTGGAGGGAGGATCCTGCAGCCTTCCTACCCTAGGCAACCAAGTCCCGCTTGGGGTCTGGAGCTGACTGTGGGCAACACTTTTTAATATGGTCATTTTGAAAATCCATGTGATATTGCTGCCATTTTCTGATTCCTACTGCTGCACAACGGGCTGTGCTGGCGTCCAGAAGTGCCAGCAAACAATGTTGTCTTTTCTCTGCAGTTTAAAAATTTCATTTCTGGCACAGAAGTATAAACAGATGTGACTCATTGCACAGAGGACTTGCAACTATAAATGTGCCAGGAATAGAACAGGAGAGGGAGTTCCTACCAGAGACATCCATTAGAGTAGTCTGTAGTGCCTGTCGCTGTTTAGTGCTCATGCCCTGGGGCGAAGGTCACACCATGGCGAGCAGGCACTGTGCCATGGCAGCAGCTGGCGGTGGTGGCTGCCGACAGGCAGTCGAGAGACTAAATATGTGCAAAATGCGTTTGTCTGTGGGCGTGCTTCCCAGCTGGTGATTCTGCAGTGTCTCGGAGTCTTCAGCATGTGCACTTGGGGTTGAGGTCATGTGCCATCACTAATCTACCCCTGGACTGAGTTAACTTTCAAGATTAAAAGGTAGCTTCTGCAGCTCTGAGAGTCAAGTTTAGGTAAAACAACCGCGGTGTGTTAGTACTTTTCATACACTAAAAGCAGTCTTTTACAGTGGTTTGCTTTGGTGGCACTATCTCGAGAGGTGTCATGACATATTTACTATTTAATTTCTCATATTCCTATTTGATAAGCTTTTAACTGAGAAAGTGACGTTTTGTTTTGGTTTGGTTTTTTTTATTTAAAGCAACATTTTGAAAAAACTGAAGCATTGTTTACTCAGGCAGTACTTGCATAATGTGGGGAAGGTTGGTTTTTTTAGTAAAAAGTATGTTCCCTTTTACTTCTAGGCAAAGCAGTAAGACTTGCTTACGGTCGTTATTTTCAGGTGCTGTTAGTAATGTGACTTCCAATAAAGATACGTTGCCTTTCATGAAAAGGGAAGTGCTTTCTCTTTGTTCAGTTATGGTTTAATTTATTATTACATTTTGAGCTTCCAGTTTTTTCTTTGATTGTTGATCATTTGCAGAGTCCTACTCAAAATAAAAAATTTGTCTCTCAGTAAAAGCTTACAAATAGTAGGCTTGAACTCCTGGAAAGAACAGCATAATAAAAATAGATACATGAGACTTGAGCTGTGAAAATAAATTTCCATAGAGCCTGATAGCTCTTTTTATTTAGTATTTGAACAAACTTTTAAAAAGTCAATAATGGACATATTTCAAAGCAGATTTGCATTATTCTTGCAGTCAAATGTACATTTGTTTTGAAATGTTTGTAGTTTAAGTAAGTCTTTTGCTCTCTAAATTTGTATTCCTTATTACAAACCTTTTTATATTTTAATTCCTTTCAATTATAAAAAAAAAAAAAAAAGTACAAATAGTTACTTGGTGTTTTTGATGTGCCTTTTCTCATTCCTTTGTCTACCCACATGATCAGATAAATATCCAAAACAGTGTACTGGAATAATGGAAAAATGGCATGAATTATTCAGAAAATTTTCAGTTTCCCAGTTTGGAGGATAGATAGATTTCTATAAAGGAGGTTTTACAGCCTGTCAACCTCAACATTGACCTTCTGTAGTAGTACTGTGATTTAAGTAAGTGAATTATTACCACTATGCCGTCAAAATAATAAAAGGGCAATTTCCTAAATATTTCACATTCATAGAAGAAAATCTTCCAAGAGCATCATATGCCAATCATTTAAGGTAATATAGGTTTGTCTAGTTTTATTACACTCTCTGTAAAACTCTTTACATTTAGTTGAGTGGCAAATTAGAAAGGAAAGTTCTTTTCTCTTGTATAGCTTTGAGATTCCTATTTCACTGCAGTTTCCAGGAGCCCTAAATAGGGGAGGGGCCTCACGGTGGGTCCTACACACAAGCAGAGACAGTGGCTGGGGTCCCAGTTAGTGTCTTCACCATGGTTGGCTTTTGGTCCAGGCCTAAGTGATTTTGTTGAGGAGCGATGAGGACAGTGGCTTCTTAAGGAACACATTCCTTAAGTGTTTTGATAGTGCTTGCTCTGTTTATTTTAAAAAGACTATGATTTTGCTGACTCTGCCCACATATAATATATTAGTAATATTCCTTTCCTTTTTTCATACTTTGTTTTAACATTCACAAAGCTTTTTCAGGGCAGCTGCTGTCACTGAAGAAATAAATCAGTTATGAAACTGAAAATTTCAAAAAGCAGAGAGTGTTTTTTTAATATTTTAAATGCTTTAACATCATTAGTCAAGCCTAAACTGCACTGTGTGTTTTGTATCGGCACGTGAACTTGTGTTTACTACAGAGTTAGACAGGCTGCGTTTCACGAGACAAGATTCTGTAATCACATTGCAGCGGAGCTTGGCTTTTTTAGGCATCTGCTTTGCATGAAGTATGATCGAGGAAACTGTTTCTCTTTTTTTTTTAGCCACCGTTTAATCTACTAACATGCGAAAAGAGGTCCCATGATACTAAGAATAGACATGTAAAACTAAACTGTATAATAAAAATAATGTCCAACCTTTTAATAAGTCAACCATGCTACATCAGAGTATAGGGTACAGTTTCTAATTAAAATGTTCTTGTTAATTAAAAATATCCTTCTATTTCATTACATTTTTATTCCCTTTCATTGTTTGATTTAATTATCATAATGAATATAATTAGCATGTGTTGTCAACTCACTTCATTTGCATATTATATTGGATAATTGAATGTGGTCCCGTAATTAAATTAACATGAATGACAGACGATTTGGCTTCTTTCACATCGCTGTATTGGGAATAAAAATCTTTCCATATTCATTGCAGTTAGTGAATATTTTTCATGTGAATAGTCATCACAAATCAAATCTTCAGACTCCGGATATTGCCTGAAAGGCTCCAAAAAAAGTTGCATTGTTCATTTGTCTTGCTATGCATTTATTTAAATAAAAATAGCTTTTGTTCTTTCAGTCTTTGACACACACTGTATTTAGAGTGCTGTAGAAGAATCACACTAACTTTTGGGATTTGTAGTATACGGAACTATATACTTCTAAATTTTCAAACTAGAACATTATTATTACTAGATTGCAAAACAAAATCTCTGAAAAAGGGAAAAGTGTATGCAGCTTTAAAAAACTTAATTATAAAATTAGGCTTTGTAGACAGAAGTAAAAACTTACTTTAGAATAAGTAATGCAATTGGAAAAACTTGGATACACAAACCATGTGTCCTCGAAGAAGGGATTATCTCCAAAAGTTTGTCTTCCAATTGCTTACATCTGACTAACTTACTTTTCTGTCACTCCAAACCTTTTATCCCCAGACAGCTGTGTCCATAAGAACAGTACATTATTCTTATTATAAACTTACAAATAATTGAAATGTTAATATCTAATAATCTGTATGTTGAAAATAGAAGCACATGGAATTAGATTTTGTAGTAACATTCACTTACTAGAAATTTATCTGTCCTATATAGCTGTGGAAAATTTATCACAAAGCATGTTTCGGGCATACCAGCTAGCTCTGGTTAAAGGAATAAGGAACAGTCAGATTACAGGATATTTTGGGAGAGAAATTTCTCCTGTCTTAAAAATATAAAATGTCACACAGCAGTATCACAAATACAAGTATAATGTTCAAAGAAATTAAAATATTGTGTGGTAGACACAGTTCTGAAAGGTTCATTAAATGTATTACTCGTTTCCAGCACAAAGAAAAGAGTGGATAGTCCCCAAGAAAGGCTTCATCCTAAGATTGTCTTTTCCCTTTTTTGTTAAATTATTGGCTTATAGTTATATTTTCCTTCTTTTTAGCATTTTTTTCATGTGGTAAGTCTTACTTCTGTCATAAAATAGCAATACACT